CAGCAGCGTGGATGGCAGGCCCCATGTGTCCTCGAGCCCACCAAAGACTGGTGGGTGTCAGCTCTCAGAAAGATAGCCTGACCTTCTGGACTCAATTCCACTCCTTCCTTTAGTCCAGGTGCTCAACCTCCCTGAGCCTGTTTCCTCCTCTGTAACTGTCTGGAGGAAAACTCTCAGGGCAATTCAGACCCTTCTGGGCCCTTCTGAGGAGAGAGGCGTTGAGGGAAAGTTTGAGATTTGACTTCAGGGACACTGTTCTCTAAGCATATGCCTCAGTCACCAGCACTGAACCCACTCTCAAAAGCTAAGTAGTAGCAATGAAATGCTTAAAAAGTTCTACCCAGACTGCAAAGACCCACAGCAAATAGAGCGCAGTGGCTGGTCTGGGGAGGGCCCCTTGGTCCAGGCAGCAGCCAAGGAGTTCTTGAGCCTTATTTATCACCTTGTAATATTTAACAAGGAGGGCTATGCATTATTTCTCTAATTGAAATTTACTTTTAAAAACAGACAAAGAGAATCAGGAAAAATGATGTGAGGACTTTAGGCCCAGATCTGTTTCCGTTTCAACAAGATGTGTGAGGATGACGAAAATGTCGTTTGGTTGAGCCGTGGTCATCACCCAGCATTGTTCTTTCACGTGTGTGTGTGTGTGTGTGTGTGTGTGTGTGTTTCCCTCTGAGTTTCCTAGTAGTCATTACTAAGAAAACTCCTAAACTGACTCAAAACAACAATGACAAAAACAAAAGCAAACAAAAAGACCCAATCACCACAGGTGCCATTCAGGCCCTCTTGTCTGACGGCGTTCATAGACTGTGCTTGTGTTTTTGGATGTACCCGTTTCCTTTTCTCTCTTACTCACCAGGTATCACTGGGAATCCCTCCTTCTTGCTCCAGGACCCTAAAGGAGACACTGGGGCAAGACTCATATGGGTCTTGGGGCAACCCATTTCCAGGAGAGCGTGACCCCCACCCCCAAGCCCCGGGAGGACGGACCCTTCCCTGCTGAGGCCTCCTCTCCATCCAGGCCAGGGGCCTGGACCTGAAGCTGGGTTTTGACCTTTTGGGGGTGCCTCTCTTGTCCAGGAAACACAAGGTCTTTAAGCTGAACCTGTTTGTGGGGAGAGCAACCCATTTCTTAGAGGGACTCGATCCATAGGGATAACACTAGTCCATCAGAGGACTCTTGTATTTTCATCCTGGAGAGCACAGTCCCGTTTCCTTCTGGGACGTAAAAAGTTGTTTCTAATGCTTCATCCACACAACCTCACTTCCCCAGCCTTGATTTGCAAATGGGCCCACAGAGAGGTCCCAGGCCGCTACTTCACCCAGGCAGTGAAGGTGAGCGTGGGTCCCCTCACTGCCGTGAGCCAGGCAGAAGAGCAAGCGAAACAGCTAAGAACCAGACAGGCCAGAGTTCAGGCCCTGACTTGCTATGTGACCCAAGGCAACTCACCCAACCTCTCTGAGCCTCAGTTTCCCCATTTAAAGTGGAAACAAGGCCAGCTCCTGCCTCATGGAATTGTCATGAGGAGGAGTGAAGTGGTGCCCGTGCAGAGCTGGTGCCCAAGGAAGGGGCTTCAGTGCCAGGCCTGACAGCTCGTCAGGGAAGCCTGCTGCCGGCCATCCCGGGGAGACAGTGCCAGATCAGAGGGAAGCTCAGCAAGCCACTTAAAAGGGACCTTGACTCATTTTGTGGTAACCGAATGTGCAGTTCAGGAAGTGCTTCGCAAAAGCGAACTGGGCTCCAGCCGCCCCCTCGTCCCCCTGCCCTCTGCTCAGGATTCACTGTGCCAAGACCCACCTGACACCACCCGATGCATGCCAGCAGCGTGGATGGCAGGCCCCATGTGTCCTCGAGCCCACCAAAGACTGGTGGGTGTCAGCTCTCAGAAAGATAGCCTGACCTTCTGGACTCAAATTCCACTCCTTCCTTTAGTCCAGGTGCTCAACCTCCCTGAGCCTGTTTCCTCCTCTGTAACTGGCACTACCGTATACTAGGGCTGGTGCAAAACCCTTAGCAGTCAGGTATCATTTAATCCTCACAAGCAGTTCTAAGGGCAAGTACGAAACCTTGCCATTTAAGGATGGGGAAGCTGAGGGCACCTTGAGTTATGCCAGGGCACACAGAGGATGTCTTGGAGCTGCAATTTGAACCTGGGGAATGGCACTCCTGGGCCTTCCCTCCTAACCCCTAATATCTAGAACCTGGATCATAGACCTAGCTAGTAGGTCTTGGTAGTCCTTCCCTCCTAACCCCTGGTGTCTAGAACCTGGATCGTAGACCTAGCTAGTAAGTCTTGGTGGTTCCTCACATGGATGCCAGCTTCCATTAACCATGCACGCTGCTGCTTGGTGGGCAGGTGAGGAAGTGGTCTGAGTATGGAGGAAGCCCAGGACAGGACCCTTTTTGCCTCCCCATGGGATGTCCTGGCTGCCCTGGGGGAATATGTGTGGTATTCTCCACACCCACCTGGACCTCTAGCTCCCCAGAGCCTCTGACTGCATGTTCTGAGGGCAGTGGCATCAGGACCCCCTGGGCGCAGTGTGCAGAGACTGGCCGAGGAGAGCTGTAGGGGTTACCTATTAAGGAGGCAAGTCCAGGCAGGGACTAGGGACAAAAGAGGGTGGAGGGAGACCAGAGGGAGGAAGAGGCTGCCCTCGTCATTAGCCCAGATCCCTCCCACCCACTTCTTCCCATCTCCCTGTACTTGCCCCATGGGGGTTCCCAAACAGAGGGAAGTAGAGGGGGAGAGGAGTGCGTGGACACAGGAGAGCGAGTGAGCACCCCACCCCACAACAGTGTCCTGAGAAAGCCCCCTCTTCTGTCCCCTGCTTCACAGGCCTTGGGAACAGGGAACTCTGCAGACTGAGTGGCATCCCTGCTGGGAAATGAGGGCCTGTCTTAGTTCCTCATTTAAGGCACCCGCCCTCATTCCCAAGGCAGTTAAAAGCCCCAAGTTGCCCAACTTGGTCAGGAGAAGCCTGTCCCATCAGTCTCACACACCCAGAACTTGTCTGTCTGGCCTCTGAGACTGGGCAGGGACCAGCTCTGTGTCCCCGAGCCCACATGTAGAGGAGGAAGCTGCAAAGTTGATAACCCAGGAACCTCTGTTTACCACTAGTCATTGTCAAACTCTGATGTCTTTTGGGACTAAATTTGAAGGACAGTTTTTACTGTTGTAACCAAAAAAGCAAAAGGAAGCAAACAATTAACAGGCCCCCTTCTTTTCGGGACTTTTTTTCTTTGTCAGTAGAAAGCCATTTCAGTAAACAGGAGCTGTTACGAAATGTATCTCACCCCACAGTACGCCTGTAAAGCATCTCCCTTCCCCCACTGCATAACCCATTGTACAAGAAATATTGTGATAGATACCTTTGGGTTGAGGCTGGAACAAAATGAGCCATTAGGAAGCATTCCATTTTCACCTGGATTTGTTTCTGCATCTTTTGGAGGATTTCTGCAAACCCACAGCACAGTATGGCATTTCCCATACTCTGTGATAAGAACCTCCGGGATAATGTTGGTGACTCTGGGACCATCTGAGCCTTGAGCAGCTTCCACTCTGATCTGGATGTCTCTGATGTGTGCTTGTTCAAGCAATCGATGAGCCAGTCGTGGGCGTCAGACTCGTGGGAACTGGGGGAGTGCCCAGGTCAACCCTGCTTGCTTTTACGGCTTTCCTGTAAAAGCTTCTCCACTCTTTGCCTGGGCAAGCCCGTGCCGAGATCTCCAGTACACACTCCAGCTGCCGGAGGGGTTGGGGGCGGGGGGCTCCCTCTTGCGTCTGGAACCTATTCATCCAGCCTGAGATTGAGAAGGGGCTACCTGCTGGAGCTGAGGGTAGGTGAACCCTCCCACCTGGGGCTAGCGAAAGATTGCATCTTGTCCCAAATCCTCCGCTGGACCACGGAGGATTCCCACTATTGTCTTTTTGGGATTTGAGGGAGATGTTCCAGACTGGGAGACCAGGAGAATGTTTCCCAGAAGGAGGCAGAGATTGGGGTTCCCGGGATGTGACTCCCCACAGACCACGAGGCTGACACAGTTCCTCTCTCTGTCTTCCTGCTTTTCTCATGCAAACAGCACCCCTTTCCCATTGCTGTTCTAACATCCTTGGTAGCTTAAAACAGAACACAAATGTATTCTCTCACAGTTCTGGAGGCCGGAAGCCTGAAATCTGTTTCAATGGGCTAAAGTCAAGGTGTCGGCAGGGCTCTGGGGAGATCAGCTTCCTTGCCTGTTCCAGCTTTTGGAGGTGGCCAGTGTTCCTTGGCTTGTGGTTCCTTCCTCCACTTAAAGTCCATCACTCCAGTGTCTGCCCCATCATCACATGGCTATCCCTTCTTCAAACTTCTTGCCTCCTTCATATAAGGACTCCAGTGGTTACATTAAGGGCCCACTCAGATAATCCAGGACCACTCTCCATCTCAAGATCTTCAACTTAATCACATCTGCAAAGTCCCTTTTGCCATGTAAGGTGACATTCTCAGGTTCCAGGGATTTGTGGATGTCTTTGGGGATCATTATTCAGACTCAGTTATACTTAAGACCTGCGAGACAGCCTCCTGTATCCCTGAGTGGTACTCGAAGCAGCCTAGCAACAAAAAAAGCCACAAAACCTTATCAGAAGAGCTGTTTTGGGGGCCACCCCGCATTGACCCTTACCGCTGCAGCCCCTGGTTTCCTTTGGCCCCTGCGCTCGTGTGATACCTTGAGAAGGGGTGGATCCACATGCCAGCCTACATGGGAGCAAGAGGATGGGTGCTTCCTCTCCTTTCTTGGTACATACCAGCACAGTCTGTGGCTGGGATGCTGCTCTCTGAGACTTGGGAGCTTACCTGTTCACCTCAGCCATGAACCCCGACCACATTTTGCCATTCCTATTCTCAGCCCCCTAGGCAATCTCATTCCCAAACTCGATGACCCAGTCTTCCGCATGGCTCAGAGAACTGCCGGAACTGTT